AGGGCTAATAATCTTCCACTCACCAGATGTCGCTAGTTGTGACTGAGGTAAAGTTTTTCGTTACACGATGTCAGTTAATTGAGAAATTAGTTTTAAATAATAGTTTATCATTATCTAGAGTATTATATTAATACACTACACAATGCGTCTGTGGTTTTATTTTTAATTTTTTGCACTTTATAACTCTTTTTTTTTAAAATCGGGTTTTAGTTATATTTTATAGTTTGGTTTATTCATTTCTAATGTAATTAATATAAAATATAATTAATAATACAGAAAGAAACCTTAAAGATTACATTTTCCTAAGAAATTATCATCCCCGCTATGAAATATGTCAAATATTTTACCTCAGTGTAAAGTGGCGCCGCCCTGGTGACAAAAAAAGTTGTGGATGCCCTCATTGTGTTATGATTGTTTTTGTATGTGCTAAAATAAATAACTAAAAATAAAAAATAAATGTTTTGAGAAGTATTTACTTTTATGATACTTATGTATTTTATTACAACGTTCTTTTCAAACAATATCCTATATTTCTATACAAAAATAGATAAAGATGAAATTGTTAAAACGGTATGGGATTTTACGTGAATATGGAGCTTAGTACAACATACATAAAGCCTTCGCTCGTGATTGAAAAGAGTTCCAAATACTTTTCCATTGTAAACTTTTTTGTCCATTGCTACATCACGTTAATGACAGGTATATTTTGAAAGTTTGTGATACCTATTATAGTACCTGCAGGGCATATTTTTGAAATAACCAGTACTTAAATGAAAAGGAATAATGGGATCGTTATAATGTTTACGTTTGTTGAATTTTTTTGGTTACGTTTAAACTACGGAACTCTACCTCTACATTGTGCGTGGCATTTCACGCACTCTCAGCATTGCTAGTTTCTACAGACCGGTGAAGTCCCGATGATTTAATGACGCATTAGTGTGTTCAACGGTGATTCATGACTCATAACTATACGATTCATATTTTTGTTACATGACTACGTGTATCACACTAGTACAAATATTTTAAATTAGTAAGTTTGTTTGACGATTTCTGTGTCTGATGTTATGATTCTGATAATGACTTAGTAACAATAATTTAAAATTAAAATTTTTATACAACCGACTTCAATATAAATTATTAAGAATAACTCAAAAACTATTGGTCAGACCTTAATCAAATTTATAAGGGTTTAAATAAAAAAAAGATTCATCGAAATCGGTTAACCCAGTAAAAATTATGAGATAACACACATTAAAAAAACTTAAAGTCTAATTAAAACATTTTTTTAATTATTTTGAGTATTTTTGTGGTTTTTCATAAAACATTACCCCTGTATTTTCTACATTACATATAAAATAAAATAAAAATTATATTTAAGATGCAAAACCATCCTGACCAGCAACAATAATTGATATACGTATACATATTTCGCGTGGGAACCTGTGGCCCTCAGTTGCTTTTCAGTCATTTCAGTCTCGGTTGCAGTTGTTGAACAACAAAATGCTGAGCCACTGCGCCAAGGTGCCGAAAAAAAGTTGGCTTCAGAAAGATGCTTTTACCCATCACCTGCTTAATATTCTCTGTCAACAATCGATACCCGTATTTTTATAAAATACAAATTAAATAGGTACAATATGAAAGAATTGTGATAGCAAAGTACTTGTTTAATATCATTATAATTTTAGTCAGCAGCAATTGAAGCACAATACGATAATATAATGCTACATGCTTGACAGTCTTTAATTTATTCATTAAGGCCTTCCAAAAAATTACTGCTGAACTTAGGCCTCCTATTTGTCCTTATAGTGCTTCCCCATAAATTTGCCATAATTGCCACACTAGGCAAAGTCGTGGGAAAGCACAGTTTTTTTTATGCTCTCCATTTCCTGTTTAATTCCCATCGTTAATGCTGCTTAACTTATTTTATATTCCCGACTATTGGCAACGCGTTTAAAAAAAATAGTTTATCACTTTTCAATTCACAAAAAAGAAACAATTTCATGTTTTGAAATATCTTAAAATTGTATAAGGCAATTCGAATAAAGAGATAATCTTTGTTAAAATTAAATATATTCAATATAAAATTGATCGAAAGTTCGGGATTCGACTCCCCGATCGAGAGTTAATTCCATAAAAGATTGTTTTTAGATTAATTCAGAGTCATGTGTTTCATAGTAATCAGCTATGCAAAACGAATAAAAGTCTTATATTAAATTAGCTACTTATTTTAGATTAAAATGTATTTTGGCTCTTGTGATAAGAGAAGATTCATTAGGGCTGATAAGGATAGCATATGTAAAAAAGTAATGTTTCATAATGAACAGAGATAGTTGTAATTTAGACAAGGAAAGCAGCCTAGTAGAGCCTATAGTCTCCTTTTTTGCGCCCAGAAGCAATGAAAAGGGCTACCCTCCGGGAAGCGGGAGAGGGAGGTGGTGAACGCTCTAAGCATACCACGCAGCTGGCTGTGTGATTATGTGGGACTCACTGTGAAACCTAATTGCCTACCCACTAAACACAACCTGTGGGACTGGTATTGGCTAGTGTGGCCTTTCTGCCGAATCGGAAGCGACCCCCTTTAGGGAAAAGGGGGCGAAGGCGGCGAGCAGCCGCTGAGAGGTGCGCCTAACTAAGGCTAATTAAAAACGGGGGAAGATTCGGCCTGAGCCGCTAAGAGGCAGTCCAGGTCGGCCGAAAGCTTGTTTGCGGGGTCTGAAAGTAAGTTTCTCGGTCTGCGGACTCGATAGCGAGAGGGAAGTGGGCCTGCGCAGGAAGCTGCGTCAGGAATAAGATGATGTGAGTGAGATGAGGCTTTGAAGAAGTTCTCAGAGAGTGATTTTAGAAATTGTTGGATTGTGGGGAGCTCTGTCTCGAAGAAGGTCGGCGTTACGGACGTACCAGGGTGCGTTAGTAGCCCGACGACAAAAAGTGGTTTTGAACTATTTGGAGTTCGTTTAAGGTTTTGTATTTAGTATGTGCAAAAATGGGGGCTGCATATGTCATAACTGGTCGTATACAGACCTTATGTAGGGTTCGCTGGTTATGGAAGGACATTTTACTGTGTCGAACCAGCATACTGTCGAGCCTACCCAGATAAAATCGCCCATTGCGAGCTACTCTCTGAACATGGAGCTCGAAAATGAGCCTCGTGTCAAGGGTGACACCTAGATATTTGGCGGTCGTATGCTAGGAGACAGGGTTTATTAGCATACGGATTGGCAGAATGGTGGTAGGGTGGCGTCGTTTATGATCTCAATAAACGGCGGAGCTCTTCTCCGGGTTCACATCGATACGCCATTTTGGAACCAAGCTCCTAAGTCATTAACTGACTTTGGATCTTGTTCCGTATACAAGGTAGTGAGATACCTTTACAGTAGAGGGCAGTGTCGTCTGCAAAGAGAGAGAGAGAGAGAGAGCTGAACACCATTCGACGGAATTGGAATGTCGTTGGTGAACAGGATATATAGAAGAGGGGCAAGCACGGAGCCCTGAGGGACACCGGCTATGATTTGACGCTGGGAGAAGAGCGTGCCTTCGTGTCTAAAACGAAAAGTATGATCCTTGAGGTAGGAGGCCACGAGACAAACAGGCCGATCAGGGAGGCCTGTTTCATAGAGTTTATATATACGGCCTTCATGTCAGACTCTATCGAATGCCTTAGCTATGTTGAAAAAGACCGCGATGGTCTTATGACGAACAGGATAAAAAGCGCTGAGGTTATATTCCACAATACGGTGAACTTGTTGGGGACAAGTGTGTTGAGGGTCGCCGTGATGACAAGTGAGGATGACTCGTTCAAAGAATTTGCCCACGGCCTTGAGGAAGCTGATGGGACGGTGACTGGAGGGGAGGTGGTGAGGCTTTCCTGGCTTAGGAATACCAATGACAGTTGCCTCTTTCCACGTGGTGGGAAAGTGACTAAGGTTGAAGCAGGCGTTGAAGATAATATCTAATACGGTTATCACCTGCTCAGGAAAATGTTTGAGGGCTTGGTTGGAGATGCCATCCACGCCCGGGGCCTTTTTGGGCTATAGTCCTTTGATGATGGATGAGATCTCATCATTGGACACAGTGATAGGGAGAGAGGCTGTGGGGGGTGAATTCCGGCGGCGGACCTCATCCTCCACTGTCTGGATGTGGAAGGGGTCAGTGGGTTGTGAGCTAGGAGAGTATTGAGCGGCGATCCTGTCTGCAAAGCACTCAACCTTTTCCTCGTCCTCGAAGGCAATAGTACCGTCGGGACGGAGGAGAGGGGGAGTGTGAGTGATAGCGTCTATGCGCAGGGCTCTCGCCATCTGATAGTACGCTGTGTGTAAAGGGGAGATATTCTCCATGAAATTACTCTTTTCGAGATCTCGAACTCCTCGAAATTCTTCCAGTTGGTGAAGGTTTGCATGGAGGAGCTTGAGGGAGGTGGCTGATAGCCAAGTATGAGGGAGACCGGACGGTGGCCGAATTCTAGGTTATCAAGATTCTCGATTGCCCTGAGGTTGAGGGAAACTCCTTTAACTGTCGCAAAAGGACCGTGGTTGGTGTTTTTGGAATATCGGGTGACACCGTGAGGACTGTGGACGGTAAGGTCAGGAGACTGCGCGATATTAAGCAATTTCCTGCCACTATGAGAAGTAATAAGACAGGTCTGTTGAGTATGTTTGGAGTTAAAATCTCCAAATATTCTGACTGAATTGCCTAATGCAAGGATAGCCCCAAAATCTTTTCTGAGGGGGAGGGAGGGTTCCACTAGGGATGTAGCAGGAGATCCTTGAAGAAAAACCATTTCTTAATCCATACCAATCCCGTTACCTCGTGAATGTCGCTAGAGACGACTTAGGGAAATGCCCCAAAAATCTTACGACCATTCGATGGCGTTTATACACAGCAAGAAATTAAAAAAAAAACTGTCATTTTTGCAGTATTTTTATTGCAGTATTTTATTTAAATAAATAAAACTTAAAATAATTTTAATCACATAACTTCAGTGTAAATTCTCTCGGGCACAATCACCAGTCATGTTGGAAAGTAGCCCCGACACCATAGTCGGGCTTTCCGTGACCAAGTTCTTGTGTCACTGTACCACCAGCCGATAAACGAGTATTTTTGTCGAAGTTCCATACTTTGGATGCTGATGCGTCCAGCTGTAATATAAAATTGTGAATTTACTTTGTTTATAAATACTTTTTAGCAGACATATTTTGAAGACACTTTATGTTTTTAAAATTTGAATTTAGTGTTTAAGTTCTGATAAACCGGTTTGAGACGTCATTTGAATGAAAATGGAATTGTACGTTAAAATTTCTGTTGGTAAAAAATACGTCATTACCATTGATTACAAGTGATTTAAAGATTAAGATGTAGCGGTTCTAAATTTGAATATCAATACGTATCAATGTTTATGCTTATAACAAATTGTTAATTCTTGAATGTTTTCTCATGGACCTATAATATGTCGTTCAAAACAGATAATTACCGATATTACTAGAAAGTTGTAACTCAATCGTTGTAAAGATCGACTACTCGTAAAGTACATTAATTGTTATATTATATTCAAGTTTCAAATTAAAAACACTTACATTAGTAGGTCCATGTATCTGCTTGGTTAGCTCTATAGTAGCTCTAGCGTCCTTGTTTACATTATTCCAGTCTAGTTTGCCACCGAATGAACTAGTGTCACCATTGGGTCCTAAGACTCTAGTTCCATGTGCTTGCCCTTCCAATTTTCCTCGAGCATCATTAAAAATATCTTGCTTGTAACCACCTTTACCCTAAAATAATTATTTTCCATATACATTTGTTCTTTTGATTTGATAATTATTTTCTTATTTCCAGCTGGACACAGGCCACCTTTCTTTTGAGAGTGTTATAGAGAAATTATATTTATTTTATTTAACATTATTCAAAGCTTTTAAAAACAACCAACACTTACGTAAAGTCCTTGATCGTTGCTACCCAATGTTCCGAAAACGGTTCCCTTGCCAACTTGCTTGCCCCATTTCACATCACTACACGGTTTTCTTGGATCTAGCCTGAAACAGACGCAGAAAGTAATAAGGAAGATTTGTTTAAATAGAATATAGAAGTATGTTTTTAAAAAATTGGTCTGTAACCGTCTATTGAAGACAAAGCATTTTACTTGATTCATCCATTTGATATGTATTGCTAAACAGACGCATGAACATATTCATAGGTATTTGTATGTACTAATTATATATTATGTATTTAAATATGTATATTTGTATGTATATATTTGTATACATGTTTACATACGTCATATATGTATAGTTTATTTATTAGTAAATTGTATGTATTATGTAGTTAATTATTATTTTGTGTACTGTTATTTTATTCTATATTGTCGCACCTACGTCAAATTCTCACCACTCCATGGGTTGACTAGTAGAGAATGCCTCAAGGCATTAAGTCCGCCCTTTGTATTCTTTTGTTTTAAGGAATGCAATAAAGAATAAATAAATAAGTAAATAAATAAATAAATATAATGCTTACACATCTGTCTTTCAATAATATAAGGAGGCTCAGAAAAAATAATAAAAAATCTAAACTATTGATGCGGATCTTAGATGATTAATTTTAACATCTTTAATATAAAGGATTTCCGCAAAATTACGCCTTATTCAAATAAATATATACTAAGTTTCTATTTAAACGTGTTGCAGAAATTTTCAAATAAAGCCGTCTAATAGTTATAGAAAAAGAAAAGGCTTATTTTTAGATCATGTTGAGAACATTTTATAAAGTCGTTTATAGTTTTTATTTTACGAAAAAAAAAAAACGAAAAAGAAACAGGCCCGGATGATGAGCCTCAAAGTTGTATTACTGGACTGGCCGACGCAGTGCAGTGCTCCATCTTCGAGGTTGAACACAAGCTAACAAGACGAGTGACGATTTAATGCGTTTTGAAATAATATTAATTGTTACTTACACGTAACTTTGCATGCATTCAATAGACATGCATGAACCAAGCTGAAGGCATGCCATAACAGCAAAACCAATAATGGGTAATTGATGACGATGCATTTCTCTGTAATAAAAAGGTAAAAGGCAACATGTTAGCAAGGTATAAATAAAGAATGAACACACATTGAATAAATACTGTGGTTTTCATAATTTCATAATTAGCAGAAAATAAGTCAAAGATCACATTAATTCAGTATTTAGAATTACCATAATATTAATTTGCATACCATTAATAAAATTCTTTACCTTTTTCAATCTTCTGTGTTATAAGTTCAAATGTTGGTTGGTGTCTGTAATGGTAACTCACTATCGCCTGTATTTATATGAGAATTTTACAAATTTACATTTCCCGTTACCATTAGGGCATAAATGTTTCCAGGGTACAGGGACTTTACCCTTCGTATTTATATCGTGTTTTCCTTATTCGAGTTCAACGCGGTCGTTATATATATTTTATCTTAGAAGATTAATTACGGGCGGTGAGGCGTACCATGTGGGTGACAACGCATTCTTTTGTTTAACATTGGCTTCAGTGGTCCATTTACTGCGGTAACCTATTGTGGGTTTAGTTTATGAAAAAACTTCAATTTTATTATCGTAAAAATTGGAATTTATTAGCCGACGTATGCACGAGGTTATCAATTTGACTGTCTTATTTTTTGTTTATACTTGTATGTTAAGCGATATCTGTATCCATTGTGAGCTGATTTTAATGATTCTTTTTTTTTAACAAGGATGATCCATTTCAAGTTTAAAGAAAAAATCCTAACCTATGGATAGAAAAAATAGGGACGTGTATTCTTAAAGAAACTCAATATTCCACTCAAAAGTATCAAAACATTAAATTTTATTTAAGCGATTAAAACTGAATTTCAATAACATTAAGAAATATATATAATTCCTAATTCATTAATAGACTATGAGTTAGCTTTGTGCTTGTGTTTAAAAACTATTGTGTGGATATTATTAAGAATTATTTGAAGTTGATCTTTACTCACATATTTATTATATTTATTGAATATTAAGATTGGATTGATTATACTTTTTATAATAAAACTTAAAAACTATGATAATACTTACGTTATGATTTCCATTTAAGAGTGAGTGAGAGTCTTTTAGTGAAGCTAAAAGAAGTAAACACTGGAACATCCACGGAGCCTTTGGATCTAGGTTGATCTAAGCCGTGCTTTGTTGTATTCTACAAGGAAGGACACAACATCGGTTGTATTACAGAAACAGGAAAGGAAAAATAGTAGTTCCTTCTTTAATTAACGTGTGAAAAAAGACAATTTTAACAATTTGTTATTGAAAATTATAATTTTAAAAATTAAATTAATTAACTGTCAAGTCAAGACAAAAAGTCACTTTTATTGCTTTTTAACTAGATCATCCAAAAATATTTCATGTGGGTCTATTTTAGAAAAAAAAAACAATACAATATTACGTTAGATTTTACCATTAGACATGAAATACATATTTCCTATCTTACAATAACGTACTAATATTTATTTTCATAAGTGAAAGTGCTTCTTCTTACATTTTCACTTCAATTTGACGGCTCCTTGGCGCAGTGGCTTAGCAATCAGTTGTTGCGCTGGGGGCCGTAGGTTCGAATCCCGCACGGAACAAGTATTTGTATGGCCTACAAATAATTGTTCCGGGTCTGGATGTTTGTCCTTGTGCAATTTATGTTTGTAAACTGCCTCCACGACACAGGAGAAAATCCTAGTGTGGGGGTAACGTTTTTTAAAAGAAAAGAAAATTATTTCCTTATTATGAGTTTATATGGGCTGATAAGAACATAACATTGTCTTTATGACTTCTAAGCGCTATTTTATTAACTTACTGATTAACTTGTTATTGATTACGGCGTAAAATATAAAATATTATATGATATTTGTCAGATAAGTCAAACTAATATTTGACTTTTTCACTTTACTTCTTCACTTCTTCAATCCCCTACCTACGTTTCAATTCTTGCCAGTCAATATTTAAATCCCGTTTTCGTCTGTGTTACTTTTCTGCAAAACTATAAGATTTACCGCACTCATCTTGCAGGTCCTTTCAAACTAATACCGTTGCTCCACATCCATACTCGGTAACAATTGAGTTCTGCAAATTAGGCAATTTTGACTACTGCATTCTTTTTATTGAAGAAGAGGCAAACGAACATACGGTTCATCTGATGGTTCGCGATGTGTTCGCCGTCGCCCATGAACATCTGCAATACGATTGAAATGGCCTTATAGAAAGGAGTAGATTTTTTTTCTTGAATGTTCCTAAATCGTATCGGTCCAGAAAAACCGGAGGTGACAGTAAATTCAACAGTGCGATTGTACGAATCAGTAGATTCCCCGTAAACTGCACGGTTAGTGGACCGCGATCCAAATAACTGTGGAACTGTATCTCTCTCAAAATGTCGATGCCAAGGATTCCGATGCTGGCTGAGGCAGCAAGAGGAGTGCCCTGAAATGAAGGAGGGATGCACAAACCTACGTCTTTTGAGTGTTAAACTGAACTGCATTTGTTAGTTAGCCATAGCCTCCTTCCTAATTTCACTTAAGTTGAAGTTGCCACTTGAGAAAAAATTAGTACATCCCGTTACATCACTCTGCTGCCCAGGAGACGATGGAGGCCATATAAAAAGGCACGCCTGGTGTTTCAGCGCACTTTGCCTAAAGAGGATAAGGGAGAGGAGTTTGTCTTTAAGGCTATATTACCCCTAAGCATATGCTTACGCATCCAGGGATATCCATAAGGTACACGAAATCCCTTAAGTTGATACCGGGATTCCATGTTAATTTATTTTAGATAAGGCCTGTGTTATCAGTCAATTAAACAAACAAACAAACACAACTGTTTACAAACAGTATTATCACACTTCATACAGACTTTACTAAACGTAAAATTGATAATCTGCATATTTTTTCATTGTTTGGAATTATTATGACGGCTGACGGCTCCGTGGCGCAGTGGCTTAGCAATCGGTTGTTGCGCTGGGGGCCGCGGGTTCCAATCCCGCACGGAACAAGTATTTGTATGGCCTACAAATAATTGTTCCGGGTCTGGATGTTTGTCCTTGTGCAATTTATGTTTGTAAACTGCCTCCACGACACAGGAGAAAATCCTAGTGTGTATAATATTTAGTACATATAATACTAATATTAAAAAATGTATTCGAAAACGAAAACACAAAATGACATTTTATGTACGTTCTACAAATTAAACTCTACAATTTCTATTTTATACGTGGTAGAGCCACGCTGCTGTTATATTACGGTTGTAGCACGAATGTGTCAGCTCGATTAGGGAAAACCAAGTTTTCACAAGATACCAGCTTAAAAAAGCAGAAAGATGCTGCTATGTTTATCGTACGTTGTGTGTCGAGAACCGATGACCCTGCTTACTTACTGATAATGAAATATATCATCTGAGTTCACGTGGATGAACAAGCATACTTGCAATTAATTCTACTGGCTAGGCAAGGACACCTAAATTTCTTTCAGTTGTTTATTTATGGGAATGTCCGTTCTCAAAACTGATATAGAGATTGGCCCTCTGCAGGTCTCAATTAATTTATCAGTGAAGTCGACAAAGCTGACTTTTCACATTTATGTTTTTGGTGTGATTTGATCTTTTTGCAATTTCGTATTAAAAGATATAAATAAATCTTACTTTTGTATAAAACTGAACTGACAACCAAACTTAAAAGTACAGTCCATCTGATGGTAAGCCGCTACTGTAGTTCAAAGATACCTGCCACTACCTTCAAACAAAGATCTCTGAAGACTGAGATGGAAAGCCTTACAACTTGTGAATATACTATCCTTAAGACAGGATCACATCAGTGCAAGCACCTGCCATTTAGCTTAAAAGAAGTCGAATGGTATACTCTATATTGCCGAGCTTGCGGTCACTTAACCTTTAGGTTATTGTAACCTTATTAAGTGTAATATTGGTCATATTTTTAGCCTATTTATTTTTATTTTTATTATTTTCCTGCAGGTTTATTTTGACTCGCAATTTAATACATAATATAGACATTTATATGACGAGTACTCTATGTTATTCTCCACTCTTATAAGCTTAAGTATATTTATAATGTTTAACTTTTGTTTCTGTTTGTGCAAATACATATTAAAAAGAAAATATATTTAGACGTTGTTTTAAAACCACAACTTTAATTCCTTTACAAAGTAGATAAAATGATTGCTATAAAGAACACGATATTATAGCTAGTGGCTGAGATTTTTTGTGAATATGTAGTTTTGTACAACTTATATAAGGGCTTCGCTCGTCATTGAAAAGAGTTCCATATACATTCTCAACCCGATTTCCTTTGTCCATTGTTACATCCCGTTGGTGATAAGATACTTATAAAAGTTTGTAATATTTATAGTAACTGAAAGCCATATTTAAGTTAGTTTTTATGTTTTCGTTGGTTGATTTTGTTTTTAGTTTTTGTTGATATTTAAAAATATTTATATAAATAAAAATCATATGTAGATTAAATCACAATCATAAACATTTATGACTGTGATTTAATGTACACACCATGTGGTAATGTGAGGCATAATTAATACATCTTTAATATTTGTAAATAACATTAATAGTTCTATTTATCACTAAATTCTAAAATTTTAGCGACCAAACCAATGTAAATGGTATTGAGTAAAGTAATACCCGTTCCACACGTATCGGCTAACCCTCTAACGAGCACTATAATTCCAACAAAGCCAACTTTACCTACTCTCACAAAGTAGCCTATTACTCATCAGACTATTTTATTTCGAAGCACAATGATGCATTAATTTCATAGTAGGTACTTGTACTTCTGATAATAACCCTATATGCTGGCACTACAAGATCGCCCAACCGTCCAAATCCTAAAACCAATTTGGACGTTGACGTTAAAACATTTTTATTAGAACAAGTGCAAACAAAATATAAATTCTTACTTCTCATTGTAGCTTCGGGGACATAGATACTTGAGTGGAAACATAGACCGTGAATGCAAATAAAACAAAGAAAACTCTATAGTCCATTTCAAACTGGATGTGGCTAAAAGTTTTAGTACGAATACTTCACTCTGTCATATAGATATGAATATACCGGTTTAAATTTCTAGTTTCTTTTTATAATACGCAGTTCCAGTTTCTACAGACCGGTGAACTCCCTATTACTTATCGCATTAGTGAGCATTCAACGGAGATTCATGATTCATAAGACTTTGAGTCCGAATATTTTAAGTTGTAAGTTTGTTTATAGAAATTGATCTCTGTATTTGCTGTTTATGTTTTGATAGTTACTTAACTGACAAGAAGAAATACGATTTGTGGGTAACCCAGAGTAACATATGCTACTACGTGGTACATCCACGAATCAGCTATATTATGGTTGTAGCACAAATGGATCTGCTTTACCGGGGGAGTACCACGCTCTCACAGAATACCAGCGTAAAATAGCAGTTGAATGCTTTAGTGTTGAGTATGATGAGAGTAGAAAACCAGTAAATCATTTTAGTACTAATGATATATTTCATTTTAGTCCTGAGGGATGATAAAGCATTTGCATTATAATTCTTATCCAAGGATCTGTGGGCCAAAGTATGCACTTACCAACGTATGTTTTGTCATATAACAAGGGTGACAAACAAGCACACAGTTCACCTGATAGTAAGTGGAGACTATCGTCCATAGACATATACATTAATATTCAATTAAAAATCAAAATGAAGATGTTTTGAAACTAATTTTGCACCATGGTCATGGGGCAGATTGAGGTTGACGTTGACGTTCTGATGTCATACTTAGCCCGGCTACCCTCAGTTTTTGAAATTTTGTCCCGATGTCATAAAAGCCGGGCTAACTATGACATCGGGACGTCAAACACCTCAACACCTAAGCCCGCACCCCCCTCCCCCGTGACCATGGGTGCTGTAAAGCACCCGAAATGTCGGGAATTAAAAAGGTCAACTAAACGCGAAAAAATACGTAAAAATTAGTTTAATTTAATGTGTAGTCTTCGCGTAAATATCAGAAATCAAAATGCAAATGTGTTGTTACCCTTGAGGACTGAGAAGTATTGTCTAGTTTCCAGTGAAAAGGGTCTCCGGTTCTTTACACTCACCATACAAAACACAGGAGCATTAAACTGCTATTTTACGTTGGTATTCTGTTAGAGCGTGGGCTTACCCTGGTTTAGCCGACCCATTCATGCTACAACCGCGCTGCATTATGTTAAACGGTTTTCCTAAAACATTATATATCCTGTATTGTGGAAGGAGTACACAAACATAAATTGCACAAGGGCGAACATCCAGACCAGAAACAATTATTTGTAGCCCATACTAATACATCTTTATATGTTAATACGTGGTACAGCCATGCTGCAGCTATATTAGTAGTATAGTTGTAGCAGGAATGGGTCGGCTCGACCGGGAAAGGACCATGCTCTCACAGAATACAAGCGTAAAATAGCAGCTTAATGCTGCTGTGTTTCGTATGGTGAGTGTAGAGAACCGGAGACCCTTTTTACTGGCAACGAGGCATTCCATCTTAGTCCTCAGGGGTGACAACGCATCTGCATTTTTTTATAGCATAGTGTGACAAACGAGCACACAGTCCACCTGAAGGTAAGTGGTTGCTGTGGCCCATAGACTTCTACATCTATCCTCGTTTGCGAATCAAAATGCAGATACGTTGTCACCCGTGAGTACTAAGATGGAATGCCTTTTTTCCAGTAAAAAGGGTCTCCGTTTCTCTACACTCACCATACGAAACACAGCAGTTCCAAGCTGCCAATTTACGCTGGTATTCTGTGAGAGCATGGTCCTCCCCCGGTTGAGTCGAGTATGGGATTCGAATCCACGGCCTTCAACAAAGCAACTCAATGTTAAGCCATTGGGCCACGGAGCTAATAAAAATTGCTACATGAAGTTGCTGCTGCCCATATCTTCATAACTTCCATCCTTAATGTTGGAGTATAAAAACCTGACAGGTATGAATTAACAATATCTTTTTTTATAGTATAAGAGTGACAAATGAGCACACAGTCCACCCATAGACATCTACATCTATCCTCGATTACGAATCAAAAAGCAGATGCGTTGTCACCCTTGAGATAATATGCCATTAAAACGGTCTCTAGTTCTTTACACTTACCATTCGAAACACAGCAGCATTAAGCCGTAATTTTAAGCTGGTATTCTGTGAGAGCGTGGTGTTTCCCCTGTCGAGCCGACTCATTCGTGCTACTAACTAAACTTTACCAAAAAATATATGTACACTAACTCTACTACTTAACCTGTTACGTTAATGACCCTTGTAGCACATTAAAATGTCATTTCATTTCGATCACCTAGTGAATGTCGTAAGAGACGACATAGGCAAATGCCCTGAAGATCTTAAGACCATTCGGTGTTATTACCTTTCAAAAATTAAAACACGAAAATTTTATTAGAAGCATTTATTTAAGCAAACAACGAAAAGTATTTTCAAATACATCATTTATTATAAGTTCTCTCGGAAACAATCACCAGTCATGTTGGAAAGTAGCACCGACACCATAGTCGGGCTTTCCGCGACCAAGTTCTTGTGTCACAGTACCACCAGCTGATAGACGAGTATTTTTGTCAAAGTTCCACACTTTAGATGCTGATGCGTCCAGCTGCAAAATAAAATTGGGAATTTAGTATGCTTGTAAAACATTATAGACGCGTTTTGAAGGCACTTAATGTTTTTTTTTTTAAATTTAAATTTAGCCTTTAAGTTCTGAAATACCGATTTGAGCCGTCATTATTATGTATATATAATATATGTGTATGTTAAAACAATATTTGTTTTGTAAGAATGTATGAATTTTATTTCAATTTATTAGATAATATGGCTGATATCAGTGCTGTAAGCCTTTTGGCTCTTACCGTTTCATCGGACACAGCTATAAAAGGGGTGATGAAACATTATACCCAACGTTACTTGCGAAACGAAATTCACCGACGATAGGTTACAGTGCACATAGATAAGTTGCAGTTAGTTGTAGAACAGGGGGTTGCAGGCCCCGCCTCTGATGGTTAACTCGTATCGTTCTTTGTTCTGGGCGATTCGAATTGCCCAGGGATGCGGGTGAAATATATGTACGCGTAGTGGAGGCGCGTGTGGCGCGTTTGTCTGCGGACTCGCTGCATCCCATCCGTTAACCTAACGGTGTTTGTGACATTGGGTGGGTGTATAGTGTTGTAGTGTGACGGGTCAGCGACATTCGGGTCTGGGTCTGGGAACTGGGGGTTCAATTAAAACTTTACGGGGCCTCCGGTGACTTTCCGTTACCCTTAAAATCGGAGCTTAGGTTATAGCGGAGCAGGTTAGGATGTAGCCCGGCCCTCTCAAAGTGGCACCTAGAAATTTCCTTGACTTATTCAGAGATCGTCGGCAGTTTTAAGTCTCTGTGCAAGTCGGGGTTCGTTGGTACCACAGAGCTCTGGTGGCTATGCAAATTAATCTATTTTGGATGATTTAGAGGTCATACAAATTACGAGGAGCAGCGTGCGAGAAAGCTAAAGTAGCGTAAACATGATAGGATTTACGCACGTTTTGCAAAGATGGAAAGCTTTGGATAGTTTGCTTTTGCTGTTAACTAGTAGTTGGAAGCAATTGGTGATGAATTTGGTACGGTTGCGGACATTGCGAATGTATTTCATAGAGTTGTTGCATGTGACCCCTAGGTTTCCTATGGGATTTGGCTATCGTATCCCATGAATTGTGGCGGTCGAATTGGGTGATCGTCACTAATTATTTTTTTAAAGTTCTTGGGTTTCTTTGAAAATATATTGCTAAACTTTTCTGGGTGAGTGTGTTTTACACTATATACGGTTACCAGGACGGAGAGTTCGCCCAAAACGCACTGCATTTTGAACCACGACAAGCGTTTCACTTCAAATCACAGTGAGACTGCTGTCTCCCGGCACAAGTAATACAGTGTGTTTTAAGTGAGTAATATCAATTTTGCGCATGAGCATTGAGCAAAAAACGAAGAAGAAAAAAAGAGAAGACAATAACTTATTCAGCGCAGAATAGTATTTGAATTTGAATTTTGTATATCAACAGAAATTAATATTTGTGTTATTACAAAATTGTTTACTTTCGAATGTATAATATAAATGTTATTATTCATTAGTTTTCTGCCGACTTTCAAAAAGGAGACGGTACTCAATTCGACTGTATTTTTTAATGTGTGTTACCTCATAACTTTTTACTTAGTGAACCAATTTAGATGATTCTTTTTTATTTGAAAGCTGGTACTTCTCGTGTGGTCTCATATGAATTTGATCAAGGTCAGACCAATAATTTTTGAGATATTCTTAAATAACTTATATTGAAGTCGTCTGTACAAAATTTTTAATTTTTAATTATTGAATCTCAATATATTTAAATTGGCACACTGCGCAAATGTAACAAGACATGAATATTGTTTAGGCAAAGTACGAGTACTTGTAGATTTTCTCCTGGTATTATAATATGTCGTTCAGAAGCGATATTTCTGATTATACTTGATATTTTAATTCATTTCTCGTATATATCGGCTTTACTTTAATGATAGTTTAAAGTTTTAAATTTAAAACACTTACATTAGTAGGTCCATGTATCTGCTTAGTTAGTTCTAAAGTAGCTCTGGCATCCTTGTTTACATTATTCCAATCTAGTTTGCCACCGAGTGAACTAGAGTCACCATTGGGTCCCAAGACTCTAGTTCCATACGCTTGCCCTTCCAATTTTCCTCTAGCATCATTAAAAATATCTTGCTTGTAACCACCTTTACCCTAAAAATAATTATTTTATATGTATAAATATTTATCCTTTAATTTGATAATTATTTCTTACTTCCCGCTAGATATAGGCTTCCTGTCCTCTAAAAGAGTTGTGGAGCAATTATAATTTATTTAACATTATTCAAAGCTTTTAAGAACAAACAACACTCACGTAAAGTCCTTGATCGTTGTCACCTAATGTTCCGAAAACTGTTCCCTTGCCAACTTGCTTGTCCCATGTCACATCGCGCTTTAGTCTTGGATCTAGTCTAAAATATACACAGAAGGTAATAATTAAGATTTATTAAAATATAATATAATTCTGACAAACCTGTATTTTTATGATTAAAGCAGGTTCTTTAAAAGACTTAGAAAAAAGTAAGTTATTGATGTAGATCTTAGCTGATTATTTTTAACATCTTTAATATACTGGGTTTCCGCAAAGTGACGCTTGATTCTATTCATTAAACAAAATGCTATTTAAATGTACAACTTACAGAGATTCCATAATGTATCCGTCTAATAGTTATAGAATATGAAAAGGCTTATAATTTCTAGGTTATTTTAAGAACATATTTTATAAAGTCGTTTATATTGTTTGTATTATGAAAAAACAACGAAAAAGAAAAAGATCCGGATGATGAAACTCAAAGATGTATTACTGGAATGGCCGGGGTAGTCCATTGCTCCGTCTTCAAGGTAGAACACAAGTTACCAAGATAAGAAAGGAAGTATTGCACTTCAAAAATAAAATTAAATGTTACGTACCTGAGACTTTGTCTGCCTTCAATAGACATGCATGAACTGAGCTGAAGACATGCTATAAAAGCAAAGCCAAGAATGGATATTTGCTGACGATGCATATTTCTGTAATAAAAAGGTAAAATATTAGCAAGTTATAATAAAATAAAGTTAATAAAAAATTAACAGTCAGTTAAATTATTTATAAAATTGTATGTTTCATAATTAGCAGAAAGTAAATTATCAAAATAATTATTTGCATGATATTAATAAAATTGCTTACCCTTTTTTAATCCTCCGTGTTATAAACTCAAGAGATGGCTGGTATCTGTCATAGTACCTCTATGTCGCCTGTATTTATATGAGAATTTTAGTATTGTCCATTGGGGCATAAATGTTTCCGGGGTACAGGGACTTTACCCTTCGTATTTATGTCGTCTTTTCCTTATTAGAGTTCGATGCGATCGTTAAATATTTTTTATCTTAGATGAATAATTACAAATTGCCAGGCATTCCATGTAGGAGACAACGGAATCAAAAGCCACCTTTATTTTATGTTGGTTTCAGTTGTCTATTTACTGCGGTAATCAACGGTAAATATAGTTTATGAAATTTTGTGAAAAGTTAAAATTTTTTAAATCGTTAAAATTGCAATTTATTAACCAACGTATGTACGAAGTTATCAATTTGACTCATTTATTGTTTATTTTCGTATGTTATGTGAAATCTGCGTCAATTTTGAGCAGATTAAGAATTGAGAATAGACCTTTCAAATTTAAAAAAGAAAAAAAGTACTAACCTAAGGAGAGAAAAATAGGTATTGTGTAATCCTTATTCCACTCAAAAGGGTCAACACATTAAACTTTATAGAAATAATTAAAACTGAATTCAAAGAACTCCAAGGAATAAAAAAAAGTCTTAATTCATTAATAGACTATGACTGGCAAAAACTTATGATATAAGTATAGTCTAGATATAGAACTAGATGTAGAAACTAGATACATTTATTATGATTTCCATTTAAGAGTGTCCTTCACTAAAATAAGTTAACACTGGAACATGCTTTGTTGTGTATATTCTACGAGAAGGAACACAAGATTTGTTGTATTACGAAACAGTGCGTGTGTAAAAATACAAAGACAAAGCCTTTTTATTGAAAGTGATAATTATACAAATGGAATGAATTAACTGCAGACCCAAATGTTTTAGAAAAAAAATGCAGCATATTTACGGTAGATTTTACCATTAGATATGAAATACTATGTACACACATTACCTATCTTCCAATAATGTATTAATATTTCATAAGCGAAAAGGGCCTCTTCTCGCATTTTCACATCGCATCTTTTCTTATGGTGAGTTTATATGGGCTGATAAGAATATGAAATTGTTTTTATGACTTCTAAGCGTTGTTTTATTAACTTATTAAGTTGTTATGGTAGCACAATAGAAAATATTATATGATGTTTATATATCTATCTATACATATAATAAATCTGTAGAAAAGTCGTGTCTGTAATTCTAATATATTCTTGAAAAAACAAGTCTAGGGGACTAAATAAAGGGTTCTGAAGCCAAATTAATGGTTTTTAGAATTTTTGTCTGTCTGTCTATCTGTCAGTCTGTCAGTCTGTCTCTCTGTGTATTCCGGATTCACGCGAAAACTATTGGACCGATTTACATGAAATTTTGTATGCAGATAGTTAGTAACTCGGGACAACTTATAGGGGGCTACTTTTTATTCGATTACGGAACTTCAATAAAAGAAGGTTAAGTAGTTTTCTTCCTTTGGATGTTAATTTTCTGTTGTATCTTAGTTATAGGCGGGATGACGATGCTTTTCAAATAAATAAAGTTTAAAATATAGTTATAACCTTGGTAAAATAATTTTAAACTAAACCGATTTAGTTATCAAAACAGCGCCATCTATCATTAAATGGAAAAAGTAGTATATTTTGCCTTAAGTTGCTAATAAATTAAATAATATAAATAACTTACATTTATGTTTAAATAATTAGATTTTGAAAATTATTAAAAAGTTTTAACGTTAAGTTATATACTAATTTTAAGGATTTTATCGCCATTAATTTTAACTTTTTTAATTCCCTATGTTTTGGGCACTTTACAGCACCCATGGTCACGGAAAGACTGAGGTGTATGACGACTTGGTGTCATAGTTAGAATAGTATGCTTGAGTTTGAATTTAAATTTGATAATTGTGACCCCATTCTGTATATATATATATATATATATATATATATATATATATATATGTAGGAAGTATAATGGGTATAGTACAGAGACTAATTTTGTTAGATAGTTAATTCGTTTACATGAATTAACTCTCCAACTAGTCGAGGATAAACTAGTAACGGAATACGACAAACGCACCGAGCCACGTCAGAGCCAAGACTGTCCTAACGGCGGCAGCTCCGTCCGTATTATACAAGCTAAACGGCCGCCACCGCAGGTGTAATGGTGCAGGTGTGCGGAGCACGTGTTATTTATAAGAATTCTGTCTAGCTACACTGACGCCGCCGCACGTACAATGGTGCATGTGCCGTCACGGCCATACTGACATGCGTGCGTCCTCGCACGCACTCCATCACAATCTTAGTTATCTGTAGACAGAAAAACAACGTTTGATTCTCCTGATAAAACAGCGTCTGGTCCGGTCTATATTGACCCTTCAGACTCGGGTGACCGTCAGTTTTGTTCCGGCAGTAAGCCCTATAAAACTTTTATCATCTTTATGTTAGATCGGAATGATTAGTCTGTAGCTTTTTCTATTTTCTTTTTTTTTTTCAAGTACTGTTTTCGCTAGTCCGGAATCACTATTCCCTATAGCTATATCACTGGACCGGCACAAAGCCCTGCAATGATAGTAAGAACTATTCTTTTTTCTTAATCTCATTTTTTTCAGTACTATTTATGCTAGTCCGGAATCACTATTCCCTGTAGCAATATCATTGGACCGGCAAACGCTCTGCAATGATAGTAAGAACCACATTTTTTTTCCTACACTCTTTTTTTTCAATTCAGTATAGAACAGTTACAGACCAACCATACCGCAAACATGTCCCCGTCACAATCACACAAAAGTGTATCGTGACGGACATAGTGACACAATAACACCTAAGTATGTAAACCAACAGCAACTCGACACATATCCCAGTGCAGCACAGACCAGCCTCCTTGCAACTCCATCTTCCTTTCCTGCACTAGAATAATTACTTCGCTAGAGTGTTGCAACGTCTCTTTATTCTAGACGCACAGACAAGGCTACCTCTGACTGTCGCGCGTCCTCGTGCGGTTGACAGTGAACAGCATACGGTCTATCAGTTATCACCACCTGCAAACAGATATTAACTCTTGTTAAATATTACAACGGTCGACCATCCCAGACTTCATTTAAGTCACGAACGCGCCGACATGGCTACCTCCAGGCAAACGCAATTCAGCTTTCCGTTCTGCTGCGTCCGTGCCACATTCGCGCCAGCGAGCCGTCGCGCCATACTAGCGCTAGCGAATCGTCGTACTGCTTTGCAAAATTAAAAGAAGTCGAGATAAATGTATTGCGAACCATGGAATTCCGAGCTTCCAAAATTGATCACAAATTCTCTTAAGAAACGGCAACTGTGTGACATTTGAAAACATTGCAAAAAACGGAAACTATGTGTAGAGATGGATACCATCACATATCTCAAAGGGAAGGAGGTAACTGCGCAAAATCTACGAAAGCCGACCAACCCTCAGACGTTCATTTACAGCACCAAAGGACCATGTGTTCGGCGGCCGCTTGAATTGCCTTGTCGTAATATCTGCCGACAAGTTACAGACTGTATCGGTGTAGGCTCAATCTTACCAGAGCTCGGCCGCACCTGACCATGTTCGATTAGCCATCACAACATCTTCCTCATTGATCATTGTTGTAGAGACTTCTACGAATCTCTCGACATCAAACCCCAATCTTGTCGACAGTATTCGGAGCAAACTGCAACACTGATCAACACATTAGAACTCAAAAATGTCACTTATTATTTTCAATCCACAGAGTGTTAAAGTTAATCCTTTATTGTAGTACAACCCTTAAACGTTTTGAACTTCAAAATATAGCAAATGATAATCATGTTTCACATGAACTATCAAATTATAACAAAACTTGAACAATTTCATTATAAAGCCTCCAACATTTAGTTTGACATTTGTTAAAATATTTAGGTACGTCAAGAAATAATGAAAATACTTGCGGGTACTTTTAATACAAATCAAACAAAAGGATTTATCTTTTGGCTTAAATAATTTCACTTTATCTTTTCTCTACACTTTAATGATACGATAATATCGTAAGTAGGACAGCAAATTTTATTACGGTATTTAACATAAAAAGAGATCCCTCAACGCGAAATGCATTATAGCCTTTACAAATGTAATAATTCTCATACTATTCGAAGATTATATGTGGGCAATAAAGGGGACTTTATTCCACTTCTGATGTAGGAAGTATAATGGGTATAGTACAGAGACTAATTTTGTAGTTAGGAATAATAATTAATTCGTTTACACGAATTAACTATCCAACTAGTCGAGGATAAACTAGTAACGGAATAGGACAAACGCACCGTTCCACGTCAGAGCCAAGACTGTCCTAACGGCGGCAGCTCCGTCCGTTTTATACAAGCTGAACGGCCGCCACCGCAGGTGCAATGGTGCAGGTGTGCGGAGCACGTGTTATTTACAAGAATTCTGTCTAGCTACACTGACGCCGCCGCAAGTGCAATGGTGCATGTGCCGTCATATATACATATATATATATATATATATATATATATATATATATATATATATATATATATATATATATATATATATATAATTGTCAGATAATTAATTAAACTAATATTTCACTTCTATTTTACATCGTAGAGCCACTTTACAGCTATATTATGGTTTTAGCACAAATGTGTAGACTCGGCCGGGGTAAGACAATTCTCGCAGAATACAAGCGTAAATTGCAGCTTAATGCTGCTGTGTTTCGTATGGTAGGTAACCCGAGACCCTTTTTCTAGAAACAAGGTATTCCCCCTTAGTCTTCAGGAGTGACAATGCATCTGCATTCGTAAATTGCATTGCATTTGCAAATGTACTCGTAAGTGGTGAATTGTGTAGTCTTTTGTCACCCTTATTCTATAAAAAAACACTTCTCGAATCTCCTACCTAAGTTTCAACTCTTACTTGACACTTTCTTAATATTCTACACTCAGCAGTTGCCATCCAAATAACTGCGGAACTGTTGATGTCTTGAAATGTCAGATTCCGATGCTGGCTGATGC